TTAGAATAGAACTGCTCATTAATCCTGATCAGATTATAGTAAAACTTACGTACCCTTAGCTTGTTGGTATAATAAAAAAATTAAAAACCAGGATGTTCTTCAGAACAGCCTTTATCCGAACACAAATCGATGCAAACGGGGCGTCAATCCTCTCTATCTTCCGCTATTTTCATTCAATCTACTCTCAAATTATTCTAAGTAGATCAGAGTCACGAATTTAATGTCATATTTTATTGCAAGGTCAGTATCTCTTATCCTGGTTTCATTTCAAGACTAAACTTTTTGTAGCATTGTCGTAAAATTAGTAGTGTGCATTTAATAGACCTATTATGATAAATAACCGTGATTTTAATTTAAATTTTAATGGTTTTTAATACACCATATCCCATATTCATTCATTGTTTCCGTTAGCGTTGTATAGTAATAATAATAATATTAGGAATTTCTCAAAAACATCTGTTTTTAGTGTAACTCATAAAATTTTTAATTTGCCTATTACATTTTCTTCTGGGCTGTACTGTATTGCTTTTACTACTTCCTTGATACATACACTTTCCAATTTAGTAAAAGGAGATGCTGATTTGTGTCACAAATACCTATTTATGTATATATATCCGTTACGATATGTATGATGGAAATTTTGTTGATTACCGGCATATTGTTAAGCAAAAAATATGATTTGGGTAATGCGGAATCTTGCTTATATCGGAGAATTGATTTTAGATTTCGATAAGTAATATTATTTATCACACAATTAATATTTTGTTTTGCAAGATTATCTATCAGATTTTTAATAAATACATTAACATGTTTTTGGGTCCAAAAAATACAAATATAATTTGGAGAAACATATTTCAACAAGCGAAAAATTTGTTAAGAAAACAAATAAAGTATATTAAAAACAAATTTGAAACTAGAAAAAGAAAGCAATAAATAAAATAAATAAATAGAAAAATTAGGAAATAAAAAAAAGACATTATGATACGTAGAATTCTAGTTAATGAAGAGATTAAAAAAGTTAGAAGGACAGAAGTATAAGAATCAAAATGTAAGTGAAATATTTATTTGAACCACATTCTCTTATTCTCTCTAGTGACCTTTATTGTCTATTTTCCAGTCTTTTGTAAAGTTTTTTTCTATGATATTTATTTGATCCCCCTCTTTTCTTCTTGGTATATATCTCCGTTTCTCCGTGTTAACTTATATTGTTAATTCTTATAACGAAGTATTATAAAGTGTTTATTAACCTCTCTAAAAACCTTGAAGCCTTATCGTGGTGAAGAGTGTCTTCATGCTTCTTGTAGTCGCAATTATGTGAGGTAAGCACGACTGGATTGGGACAATAATACTCTACTTAACTCTGCATATCAGGTAACAACCAGGTTTCATTTCAATGAGTAAATGGTTCAAGTATATGTTAACACTAGGACTCAAACTAAATAAGCTCCACAACAAGCAACAAAACGTGAAAGTGTATTATTTAGAACGGGTATTATAAAGCGTTAACTTTACAAATTCAATGTAATAGACCCTAATAGGAACCAAATCAGAATAAAAACCAAATAGGAACCGCACCTAAATTAAAACAGAAAAGAAACCAACTAAGAACCTAACCTGAATATAAGAACCAAATAGGAACCACATAGCAGCAGGATATTTAGGAATTACAACAACCGTTTGCTGAATAGCGCAAAAATGCTATTGACCTAAGATGCTTAAACAAATAGCCAACCATGTAAGAAAAGGTAGAATACTCCTTCCTTATAAACTATCACATATGCAACCAGCAGGAAAAATACAACCATCCACTGTAGAGAAACCGTGTCATACTGTCTTAATTGATTTGGTGGGACCATCCTCAAGATCTACCGAGGGAAGTTACTCCTTGAGAGTCCTCCAAGACTGGTTTACAAAATGGGTTATCGCTTAAACGAAAACAGTTTTTGGCTACAAAGAGAATAAAGTATACGATGGCAACACCGCCAGCACTTGCCTCAAGCTTGCCATTTCTCTGCATGCCTTCACTACCACCGATAATCCACCACTATCATCGATGCGCACTGGAAATAGGAAACCGAAAGAGGTATAAAACAACGTCCAATGCAATAGAGAATTGAGAACTGGAGAACTAATCTGGTAAAAACTCTAACCTGGGCCTTTGGGTATTGATTAGAGGCCATACCGCTTCTTAGGTTCGAACCGAAGGACTGATCTGCTAAGAATTTCTCTACGGGATTTTGAGTATTAATCAAAGACCAACTGCTTCGCGAGTTCAAGCTGGAGTATTGATCTAGTAAGAGATGCTAACGATCTAACTCTTGCAAGTGAAGCTCGGGGTTTGAAAATAAATATCAAGAAGACAAAATCAATGATTATAAGTAGAAATGATTACCCCAACGCAAAGATATATGTCTCTGGAGAAGAAATCGAACAAGTCAGGCAATTCAAATACTTGGGATGTTTGCTGAATGAGGGTTGGGACCCCGAGAATGAAATAAAGAGCAGAGTTGAACAATCCAGAAATGCTTTTTTGAGGCTTCGTAAGTTTCTGACTGATCGCAAATTGGACTTCAACCTCCGATACAAGATGCTTAAGTGTTACGTGTGGCCTGTTCTCCTGTACGGAATGGAAGCATGGACGTTAAAGGCCAGTTCCATTAACAAACTTGAAGTGTTTGAAATGTGGTGCCTGCGTCGAATGCTCAGAATATCATGGACGGACAGGGTCAGAAATGAGGAAGTACTCAGAAGAGCGGGCTTACAGGATAGGGAACTTTTTAATTATGTGAAAAGTAAGAAGACTGCATACTTGGGGCACATTATACGAGGAGAACGATACACTTTTCAGCAACTGATACTCGAAGGGAAAATAGAGGGTAGGAGAGGTCTCGGACGTAAAAAAATGTCATGGCTGCGCAATATTCGACAATGGACAGGAATCCACAGCTATGAAATGCTTCGCAATGCTGCTAAAAACCGAATTATTTAAACCAGAATATTTAACAGCTCACCTGACAAGACGATGTACGGTGGACGCCTACGCAGAAATGCACGGCACCTTAAGAAGAAGAAGAGATGCTAACCTGAGTCTTTAAGTATTGATCAACCGATCAAATCGTTGGTGAATAAGTATTGATTGCTTGTTTTTTGTTTCTTTTTCATATCAACACACAAGTTAAAAATGTTAATATCTCAGGAAAAGACCCAGTTAGTATTAAGACCTACTTAAATTAATGATGATTAATAAACACATAATAGAAAAAGTCATAAATTTCATCTACCTCGAAATAGATCTATCATATGATAAGGCAACAAGACAACCTGAAAATCGGGATAATTATTGGACATCATATGAATAAACAAATATATGAGCACAGAGAGCAAAATCTGGATATATTAAGCAATAAGCACAGTAGTATTAAACGCAACAAATACAAGAGCTAAAATGTCGTTAAGGTACGATTCCGACAATACTGTAGGCGGTATACAGTAACTGCAGACGGTAGTTGCAGTTGCTGTCGTATTGATTACTAAGTCCGCACCACTTTAGATTGGGTATTACATAAAAAAATGTGGATTACGAAATGCTGTGAGTTTTACTGCAAGAAGAAGATCTGGAAATCTGAAAGAAGGCTCTTATGAAGTATTAATCAAAAGATTTTATTCACTTTTTGGGCGATCTGCTTCCAAAAGTTTCCTTTAAGATGTAAATTTTTATAATTCGCATTTTTGCAGTCAAATAAACAGGTATATTTAGACACTAGATTATTAAAATAAACACTTTCTTCATTTGTCAATATTTTCATATCGTGCAACTTCACGACGATACTAATGGCTGTATTGTGTTTGTTCAAGTCGAGCGGCACAGTAACTGACGTTTTGCTGGACAGCAGTTGCGGCCAGATATCGGAAGTAAGCTCATACAAATTAATACTTCTTAAGTGATGACGTTTGCTGCTGCGGCAACTGCAACTATCTTCTGCAGTTCATCTCTGTCGTCTACAGTCGTTGTCGGAATGTTATTATTAAACAAAAAGATTGATGAGATCTAAAGAAGTGAAAGTGCTAAAAACCATAAAAGACCAGAAGAACAAGAAGAATTTTATTACAAACTTAATTTTTTATATTTTTAGTTTTTATTTTCATTGTTTACATATTTTTCGTGTATGTTTTGAGAATAGCTATATCCATGACTAATTAAATATTATCTAGTGAAATTATCCTAGTTAAAGAAGTTCTTGTTCAGTGACACGAAAAATTCTGCTGACTAATTGGAAAACGTAATTACGTCTATGGTAAAATTGACGACAGTGGTTATTCACATTAGGAAGAAAATTTTCGTGGTATTATTGATGACGTTTTCCAAAATTGTTGTCATTATAAAACAATTAAAAAACAATTCACAGTTATTGAACTGTTTACTTCAAATATGTGATCTCTATTTACAACAAATAATAAAATTCGTTAGATATTTCTAATCATGTTTATTCGGGATAAATGGTTCATTTAAACGTTGAAAACAGCTTAAAATGACCAATTTAAATTATTTAATTTAATATTCATTAACTTTAATTTACTATTGTCGTTTGTGGTTTTAGTATCATAAAGAATATGTTAGCGGCTTCTCTACACCAATAACTAACAAAATCTTATATGCGTACCCTTTTTGTGGTTTCTGTAGCGTATGTTGAATAAATATCTTTTGAAAACGCAAAAACTTGCGGCATCTTAGACTCTCGACAAATTCTGGATTTTATTTAATAGAAAAATTCTGTGCTTGGTCTGATTCGAACCCACGTCTCACAGAATGAAATTTCCATTTTTCACATGAGGTCCCAATGAAAATTTCACATGGGGCCTTAAATAAGCTGTCAATTAAATTTCACAAAACGAAATATTGAGTTGGCAGTGTTGCCACATCCTTATGAAGTATATGTTATACAATTTTAAAGAGAGAAAGCTTTTCAAATGTACATTTTTATTATATTATTATATGGATTCTGCAATTTTATGATTTATATAAAATACCAATGAATTATTTGTTTCTTTTGATATTCTCTCTCTCTCTTCAATCCTGACCCCCCAGGGGGAGTGTAGTGGTCGACGTGATGTCGTGTATTGTCCGTCTCCAGAGATCTCTGTCTCTGGTCATTTCTTTTAATTCATGCATAGGTCTTTGGCATATTCCTGAAATTTGATCTATCCATCTTGTTGGGGATCTTCCTCGTGATCTTCGGCCTTCTACCTTTCCTTGTATTATGAGTCTTTCCATGTTTTCTGTGTTTGCTCTCATAACATGCCCAAAATATTTTAATTGTTGGAGATGGACTTTACTAGAGAGTCGTTGGCTAACTTTTAGCTCTCTTAACATTGAATTATTCGTAACATTCGTCTCCAACCGAACATTTCAGTGGCGTCTATCTTTCTTCTCTCCGATTGTCTCAGAGTCCAAGATTCACATCCGTAGGTCAGTATTGGGAATATTAAGCAGTTGATCAACCTCATCTTTATTGCTCTTGAAATTTGACAGTCCTTCCATATTTTGGTCATTTTTGCTGTGGCAACTTTTGCTAGATCACATCTACGTTTAATCCCTTCTTGTAATGACCCTGTGTTTGTGATTAATGATCCCAGATATAAGTATGAGCTCACAACCTCGAACCGGTCAATTGTGGTAATGTGTGGATGATTGTTGTGTAGTCTATCCACTATTATGATCTTTGTCTTTGATATGTTTAATTGCAGACCAAATATTTGACTTTCGTTTTCTATCAGTCGTATAAGTTCCATCAGCTCTGCTTGACTATTTGCAAAAAGGGCTGTCTCATCTGCGAAACGTAGATTGTTTAGTTTATGACCATTTCTTGAGATGCCCTTTTCCTATCCTTCAAGTGCTCATCGCATAATATACTCCCCATATAAGTTGAATAATTGTGGAGATAGTATACATCCTTGTCTGACACCCGTTCTGGATGATATTATGCAATTAATATCTTTTGATATTAATTGCAGTTAATTATTAGAAATTTTGATTGCCAATGGCCCTTTGATAGGTTAGCAAATAAATTTGGCAATACAGTCAGAAAACTGAAACCACCAATTGCCAGATTGCAACAGGTGTCTTTTAACTTTAAAATTTAGACTGACATTATACTATTTACTTTTGAAAATTGTTTTTTACCATTCAACTATTTACTTACTTTTTCTTTTTTGATAATTCTAAACTGTCAATTGCTTTTGATTGCATATATTATATTTGTAATGTAAACACTGCCAAACACAAATATTTCGTTCTTGCAAATGATAAACTCATTTGAGGCTATCTCAAATGTGAAAAATGTCCGAAGTTACCGCATAGCTGCCGCGAACAACCGTATACTATCTGGATAAAACAGACTATAAAGAATTCAGCACATGGAACCTTAAAGGTAAGATAAGAGTTACCAACAGATACAGTGCACCGTCAGAAAAAGATTACAATGCGCAGCTCGCAACTCTCAAAATTACTTATTTCAAGTCTCACGTTTGCTATTCTATATAAAACTATTGCTTCACTTTGTTCAGTTATATCTTGTTTTCCGATATTGCAATTTGAGCAAAAGATACAGTTTCTGCACAAGTTTTCAATATTTTCTTAGTAAATATTTATTATATGTACCATACATACTTACTATGTACAATGCATAATACAGTGTGTATTTACATAGAATATGATAAAACACTACAGAAAAATGATACAGAATTGACATAATTCTTAAGTTTTATACCAACACTAGGTCAAAGCTGTATCATGCGTCTTATTTTGATTTAAATAAGAACACTCTGTAATATTCGTAATATACAACAAAAAAATAAATAATCAAATACTAATCTACTGTGCTTTCACTTTTTCTGTAGCTGGTTGGATGACCGATGCAGGTCCGACTTCGATGGGATTCTTAGGTTTTGCGTTGTACGCCTTCCTGTAGAAATCGCTGAAGAGATATAAGAAGATCACTACGTTGCCGACGAAGAAGAAGGTTAGCGCCTTGGGGAGCTTGCAATCGATGGCGATGATGAAGACTAGGTATGCCAACATTATGCAGAATTGAGTCTGGAAAATGGAGATCATTAAGTAAAAAGTATTATTTATTAAGTACAAAACTATATTCGTAGATATTAGTCATAAGATATTAGTCAAATTTTGGTGCCAGTGCACTTATTATCCATGCTAATTTGAGACATATTTTTATAAAACAAACTTATATATTACTACTAACCTTTTAATTATATCATATTAGTGTGTAATATTTAGTAATTTTTTTAGAACATTCGATTATAATGAAATAGTGGTTGATATTCACCAAAATAATAAATTTTGCTCATATAACTTGTTTGATTTATTATGATTTTTTGCATTGAAGTTTGACAGCGACTGTGCGAGGTTGCCAATTTTTGTGATGGGTTTATTCCAGTTTTAAATATTTTAAATGATATGTATTTAAACCATCGAGCAAAAAGACAAAAGAGGGAATCTAATCCTTATGAAAAGGAGACCAAAAAAGTGGACTCTGATGGCGGACATATTCGGAAATGCGAATGCGCCAAATTTAAATGTTCCGACACTTATTAACAGTAGCTATATAATATTTTTCAGAATGTGTCTTAGACGAGAAAGTTTTAATTAATTATTAAAGATAATAGTCTAAAATTCGACACAATTGTTAAAAAACTTCAATATAAATAAGATTTCATGTGACATTTGAGAGACATTTATAGATCCTTTTCCCTCCAGATACTGACAAAGAATGTAGCGTAGAATCTTTAAAGTAATTTTAAACTGTTTGTCCTCATTTTAGTGTAGTGTTTTGTACAATTTTATGTCATTATTAATGTTTCCACATTCTACGCTTGCCGGATAGTTTATATTTGACGAACTAAGTCTAAAACGTTAATCTCAAAAACTTTTTTTCATCCATTAACTTCGAGTTTTTTATCGAAGTTAACTAATTTCCTTCGTCCAAAAAACGTTTTCTTGGCTTATTTCAGATGCCTCTGAAGATGCTATTTTAAGCGAAAGTACTTGGGCTAGATTTAATTAACTTGTGCTCGATAATAGCCTTATTTTTCAAAGTTTATTTATTCGAGCATTCAACCTCATTTCAATTAAGCATATAAATTAACCAAACAAATAAAACACAGCTATGAATCAAAAGCTAATCTGTGCAACAATAACCAGGAACACTAAAGAAAAACTTGGAAACCATATTTTGAAAAACTGTTGACCGAAAACTCTCACAATGATGATGTATCACATATAGGACATGAACTTATAAAAGAAGCAGAAATGAGGATAGGCAGGTCATGTATTTAGGATGGAAGACAACAGGCTTCAAAAAAACTATTAAATGTAAGACAATAGGGAAAGAGATCTGCAAGATCGAGAAAGCGATGACAGAATGATGTGGATGAGAACGCAAAAAATCTCCTTGGAAGTTGTTCGTGGAGAAGAATGTGTACATACCGTTACGAACAAAGAGGTCTGCTGAGGAAGGCCAAAGCTCGAATTGGGCTGTAGAGCTATAGGATGTAGGATGGAACAAAAATAATAATAACGTAACGAAATCCTTTTAAAATAATGGAGACATTAACAGCAGTGATGATTAAAATAAAAAATAAGAAAATTGCTTAAGACATTCGAAACCTATAGAAAAATTGATAGGCCCCATAGAAATTTAGGCCGCATAAGGAGAGACGAAGACAAGTTATCTCATTGGTTTATATAATAAACAAACTGGAATAAATACCAAACGGGCAGAGAAAGAGTTCCTCGTACTTGTAAGGATACAAAAACAAAATATATATTAAAAAATTGACAAAAAAAGTGTTACAAAACTACTTACATAGACCATAAATACGTGTTACTAGATACTATCTATTATGGGGGAGAATACTATATAGATCGATACGCGAGGAAATATCCTCAAATCATTCATTAAAATTAAAAATTTTTAATGTTTGTATTTTGAGAACGATTTTTGAAGTGGAAATTGAAACGTCAATAAACATTTTAAACTTCAATTAGGCTTAATCCCATTAAAATAATAACTGCTTTACGATGCCATAAAAAAATAGCTTCAGAACAATATTAAGAAACCGGTATGCTTTATTCAACATCCTAAAATGGATTAATGCAAGGCAAATCAACAATAGATTCAATTTGCATTATGAGGTAATGAAAGACGATGAGCATTTAAGTGTAATAGGAAAAGTTAAGTTTGTGTAAAATATTCGATAACGGCTAACAACCATTATTAGGATTTGTGTAGAAGTGACAGATACATTTCATCTTCTTCTTCTTCTATTGAAGGTTAGAAATCATCATGTTGATGCGGATCCTGTTGACTGCCGCTCTAAATACTTCTGCTTTACTGCATTCAAACCATTCCCTCAAGTTCTTAAGCCACGGTATTCTTCGTCTTCCCATATTTCACTTTCCTTGAATTTTGCCTTGCATAATGAGCTGCAATATTGAGCATCTTTGCCCTCTCATAACATGACCTAAGTACTTAAGTTTTCTTCTTTTGGCAGTCAATATTATTTCAGCTTCATTTCCTACTCTTCTAGTAACTTCTGCGTTTGATATTCTTTAAGTTCATGATATTCGTAAGATTATTCTGTAACACCAAAATTCAAAGGCGGCCAACTTTTTTAGGTGCACTTGTTTTAATATACATGGTTTTAAACGATAAAGGAGAATAGTGAATACATAACACCGAAGCATTCTTAGGCGTAGTCCTAATCTTATATACCAACAACAAAGAAACTTTTTAAGTTTAACGAATGAAGCACGTGCTAGTTCAATACGTCTCTTAATTTCTTTGGTTTGGTCTACATTTGTTATTATCCATGTTCCTAAGTGTTTGTAGGTATCCACACTCTCAATTACAGTATCCTCAACAATCAATTGGATGTTTGCATCTGCTGATTTATTCATGATCATGCAATTAGTTTTTTTTTCAAATTTATCCTTAGTCCGTATTCATGACAGCATTGATGAAGTCGTTTTGTGAATTTCTGTGTAATTATTTAAAATTTTCTCTTTACGTTTTCTTTGTTCTTCCATAAGTTCAAGAATTTCTACTATCATCTAAGATTTTGTTTGTCCCCAAGGGGTTTGAGGGTTTGTTTTTCAACTAACACCAGAGCATGCTGAATTTTTCCCCATTGTTGGTCAATAGTTAGAGTTCCTGCATTATCTTCTTTCACTTTCCTTAAGTTTTCGTTTATTTTAAATTTTATTTCCACATATATGTTGTCTTGTTTGAGCCGCCTTGTATTTATAATCTTCTTGGAGCAAGGGTGCTCTACATTATATGTTTTGTAAATGCTTTGCTTTTGCTTTACAATTTGTTCATAGGAGTTCTCTGTGGTGTCTTCATCCTTGTCTACAGTGGGTGCATATACTTGGATTATATTTATTAAACGTTTTAAATCAGAGTAGGGAACAAAAGCTTTTTGAGAATTCTTTCAACTATAATGCCAACTCCTTGACTGTAATTTGAGTTGTTGTTACCGTAATAATGCACTGTTCTATTTCTGGTGTTACATTTTTCTGATTTAGGCCATTGTATATCGCTAAGCTCCAGTATGTTAATCTTTATTCTGCACATTTCTGACACAGCGTTATCTAGTTTGCCAGATTGGAATAAACTTCTTACGTTCCATGTTCCAATTTTCAAGGCAATAAAGTTATTCTTATTTGTTTGACAGAGATTTACCTTGATGACCTATTAGGCCTTGTCGTCTAAATCTGATTGTCCTATTCTGCGGTATTTTTGAATCCGAGCTCCATGATCATTAATTAAATTATCGACTAGTGGGTCCATGATGATTTTTACTAAGGATATCCATGCGGATCTTTAATATGGTAGTCATCCCGTGGCTTTCCACATCTTAATGTCGTTGACTAATTTAGCTGTTCCGCCTTCGGAGTTAATTTCTTAGCTCCTGGGCATTAAAGTTAATACATTTCATATGAAAGTCTAATAGTGATTCAGTAATGAGGACTCAGTACAAACACAGTTCTGTGTTTACTTGACAGTAATTATTTTAAATAATACATAACTATGGGATCAAGTATATGAAGAAACTGCTGGAGTATCAGAATTTATTAATTCTTAGTGTTCTTGTGTTGATTATTTAGTAAATGTATTTAGTGAAGTGAAAATGAAAACGAATTATTTTAGTTACATACATATAGTAGAACAATGTTTAAAATAACCAATATACTAAGATACATTCTATCCTAATTTTTATGTGGGAGAAACCTCAAGTCGACTAAGTGTTAGGATAAATAAACATAAATCGTGCATGCATTTCAGGAGGAAAAACCTTCTAACCCAGGGTTTGACCAAAAATGACTCCCCATTGTCATTTATAAACAAGGAAGTTCACAAGACTGAACAAAGAAAACAACAAAAGATCACAAGCAATCCAGAAACACCCAAAAGAAGGTATTATGTTACACAAAAATGTGTAGCAAATCTATCAGCAAATTGTAGTCAATTTGCTTGGTTTTAAAACCAAGTTTTATGTTAGCCTGCTGTATAGTTTGTGCTGTTTTATTTTTTGTAGTGATTTAAAATCACTTTTTTTCGGCTATTGAGGGTTTGTTTCGCCTTTTCTTCATAATATATAGCTGTATTTTTCTCAGAACTAATTTATGATCACTGTCTATCATAATAAGCTACTCTTGATCTCAAATGGGTTAATATAAAAAAATCTACATTGAAAAAACAGTATTACTAGCCGTAAGAGGAAAGAAAAATAATCAAAACAGGCGAGGGCTCAAAATACGAACTGAAGATATGCAACGAGAATATTGCATAAGTAGTAAAATAACAACAGAAGCCTACCAAATAAAGCAATTCTTATTTGTTTCAATTAAAACTTCATGTCATGTTTTTGTTTCAAATGTATCAAGTTTAATAATATCCTGTTCCCATTTCGAACTGGTTATATCACTCCGTGGTGTACTCTCACAATACTTACAATATCTTCTGTTATTGTTACTATGTTACATTCTATATAATTCAAAGCAGCTTTAATTAAAGCGACACAAAACCGGTAAAATACTTTTTTTGTCTTTTTTCTTTTAATTACACGAAAGTTGTGAAATCAAGTCTTTATAGATTATAAAGTATTTATTGTTTCTGCCATACAGTTTAAATATTTATAAACACTTCTTAAATTAAGTGCAGTTAAACTAACCATATCAAATAAAATTCATATGATTTCTACTTAAAATTAAGATTTCAATAAACTCACCAATTGGATCCAGGTCATGTACTTCTTCCACCAGAGGTACTTCTGATATTTGGGTCCAAGTGCTGCGATGAAGTAGTAAAAGTACATTACAACATGTACAAGCGAATTTAGAAATCCGATAACAAGACCTTGCTCACCTAAAATAATTGTTAGTTCATTATTAGCTGATTACTGAAGCACACAGAATTAGATTAATAGTTTTATTGCACAGGATGTGTTGTCGAATGAGAAAGTGCTCAATGCGTAACTACAGGAGTGGCGTAGCCCACGAATAAGGTACAATATAATAAGTAATAAATTAATATTAATCACAAAAAGTGTCGCATATTTTTAAAACAAAAAAAGTTTAAAGGCAATTTTTAATTTTTAGCAGTGTCAATACTTGTCAATGGTCTCTTTTAGGTGTCTGCAAACTCATAACATTTCAAGGCTAAAACGTTATGAGTTTTTTTGTCGAAAAAGAAAGTTAACAAAACGTTAATATTAGAGAATATTTATTTTGGATATTTGTGTTGAAGAATTTGATCTGGGCACTGTCTGCTTGATTTTCCAATAAGAAGGTGCATTCTTACAAAAAAAATGAGTATCTACTTACAAAGAAAATGGTAGCTTTTAATAAAGACGAACGATCGCAGCAATAAGTTTCTGATGTTATAATAGCTTTAAAAATGTATAGAGAAACTGGAGCTTCCACAAAAAGACCAGTTCCAGGACATCCCAGGTGCACGCACCACTCTGTAGATGATCATTATTCGTCAGCAGACTTTGATAGTGACTTGATCAGTCAGAAAAAGATTTAGGGAATTTGGAATCAGAGCCAAAATGCCTGCCACTGCTCCACTGTTAGCGAGAGCATCTTAAAGGTTTTTAAGAGAACATGTCGATTGGGATATTAATGATTGAGCTAATATTCTTTTTACCAATGAGTCAGGATTTGTACTTTGTTGATTCGAAAGACGTATTACTGTTAAGAGACGCGCCGGTGAGCGATTTGCTCATTGGCAATATAAGAGTCTCCAGAAACTTTAGAGGTGGCTGACTCTATTATGATATATTGGGATGTCACAGAGAATAAAGTTTCGTAGGGGGTCCATAACAGCTGATCGGTATGATCGGTATAAGAGATGTTTTGTTTTAATTATTGGAAATATTCGTTCTTATGAAGACAACGCCCGCCTGCTTGTTGCTATAATTGTATTGTATTATCTTCAAGAGGTTGATCCTTTTACCTAAACCTAGACCTAAACTCATTTAAGCATATTATTGTTCTGAAGCTATTTTCTTGTGACATTTTCAATTAATTACTATTTAACTGGGAATAAGCCACAATTAAAGGTAAAAATACCTTTATTGACGTTTCTATTTCCACTTCGGAAATTCGAAAAAAGTTTCCGAAGTGGAAATTGAAACGCCAATAAACGTATTTTTACCTTTAATTGTGGCTTATTTCCAGTTAAATAGTATTCAATTAAGTATGTTTGGGACTACCTTGAATGATACATGGGATTACTGTAAAATGCTTTAACGGAGGAATGACAAAATTTGGATTTTGAGTACATATGGTCTCTGATAAGACGCCTTTCACAGAATGAGGGACGTCATTAGAGCCAGAGGTGGTTATCACTTGGTTTGTTGAATAATTAATATTTTGTTTTGGTTTTGACGTGCTGGTCTTTAAATTTTTATTTTACTGGAATAAACCACTGTTAAATATTCACATGTTTCATTCCCTGATATTTTCAAAAAAAAAAATTAGGGGATGCTAATCAAATCTTCTATACTTAATAAATTTATGTAATACGTTTTGCCATGAGTATTAACAAATGACATTATTTAGGTAATACATATATTTTTTTTAAATATGCTTTTTTTACTAATGTCTTCATTATTGAAGTATTTATAATATCTTCATTATTTCTTTATTTTTTTCCTGACTTCTGCTGCCCCTATAAGTTATTCGAAACCTAGCCTGGTCCATTATCTGTTTCTCATTGACGACATCTTTATAATTACTTGGAGATTAGTATTTTTCCTGTCGCAACAGTTGTAACCAATTAATTTGTGTTATTTTTCTCATTGATTATTTGAGATTTTTGCTGTCCAAGGTATTTTTATATTTGAGTTATTTCAAAACATCATCCATGTTTCGAAATCTTCTAGCTTATTGTCCTCTTAGCAATTCTTATCCCTTACTTGCCAATGACATGTTTGATATCATTTGCCCATTTTTTCTGCAGTTTTCCCAGTTCTCTCTTGGTCATTAGTTTGTTATTATCTCCAGTCTTTTTTTCAGAGTAATCTCGAGCAATATGTATGACCTACCAGGATATGATCTTGCTATACGTTCCCCGATATCAGTAATTTTTGTTCTGAGCTTTTGAAATGTATTGAGCTGTTGTAGAGTTCTCTTTGTAAAGTCCGTAAGTCCCTATGTAATCACTGATAACATACATTTGTCCTAAAGTCTACGCTTTTAAACACACTAAAACATACCTGTTCTTCAAAATATAGCTTCACTTGCCGAAATCTACTTAAGATAATTATTGTATGAGCAATTTTTTTTTTCGCCTATTTGGTTTTATTTACCCATTTTAATAGGATGTCCAAGATAATTATTATTATCTTGGATATTCGTCCAAGATATTCTGGTTTCCTGAAAGTTTATTTTGAGATCTATTTTGTTATGTTTTATATATTTGATCTATATTACACTTAAAATTTTCTCGGGAGCTATATGTTCGTTTTGTGGTTTTCCTGATTTGACTGCGCGCTGAATAATTTTGGTTAAAAAAAAAACAATATTTTGACGTAGAAGTTCGTTTGTAGTAATACACCATTTAACGTTTTATATTGTTTTTAATTATGTCTTCTTATTGTATGCCATACGCTAAAAAAAGTTCTATATTGTATTGAATTCTTCACGCAGTCAATGTTCTACTTATAGAACTTTCAGGTTCTCCAGATGGTTTAATTTTTTGACATATAGGTGTTTGTTCGTCTTCTGTCTATTTCTGAGACATCTAAATTTAATTTTTTTTTAATAAAAAAAAAATAGTTTGATGTTTAGAATGAAAGCTCTAAAAGAAAATAATAAGTTTCTTTTACTTACCAGGCAAGAATTTTAAAGATAAAGATAATTATTGTATGAGCAATTTTTTTTTTCGCCTATTTGGTTTTATTTACCCATTTTAATAGAATGTCCAAGATAATTATTATTATCTTGGATATTCGTCCAAGATATTCTGGTTTCCTGAAAGTTTATTTTGAGATCTATTTTGTTATGTTTTATATATTTGATCTATATTACACTTAAAATTTTCTCGGGAGCTATATGTTCGTTTTGTGGTTTTCCTGATTTGACTGCGCGCTGAATAATTTTGGTTAAAAAAAAACAATATTTTGACGTAGAAGTTCGTTTGTAGTAATACACCATTTAACGTTTTATATTGTTTTTAATTATGTCTTCTTATTGTATGCCATACGCTAAAAAAAGTTCTATATTGTATTGAATTCTTCACGCAGTCAATGTTCTACTTATAGAACTTTCAGGTTCTCCAGATGGTTTAATTTTTTGACATATAGGTGTTTGTTCGTCTTCTGTCTATTTCTGAGACATCTAAATTTAATTTTTTTTTAATAAAAAAAAAATAGTTTGATGTTTAGAATGAAAGCTCTAAAAGAAAATAATAAGTTTCTTTTACTTACCAGGCAAGAATTTTAAATATCCCCATGAGAAGAACATTGTAATGGCGTGGTGATATACATGGAGGAACGTTACTTGGGACTGTTTTTTTCTTAAAACGAAGAAAACGGTATCCAATAGCTCCACTATTTTAGAGAAAAAGTACCACCAAGATGAATTGTAGACCTAAAAATTAAAGGATACAAAGATATTAATTAGGACAATCAAAGCAAATTTAATATTTAAAAAAAAATAATTCTTGTTTACCTGTAAATTTTGATCTAGTACTTTTGTGTGTAATACATTTAATTTTCTTTTTGTTTTAAATTTTTTTTTTATTTCCTTTGCTACCAAACTCCAGAACCCGAAGGAATACATGCAGTACTACTAATAGTGATACTGACAAATTGGCAACAATAATAAAATTTAACAATAATAGAGAAATATTATTTAACAATAATAGAGAACTGGTACCACAGACAGGTTCTCAATTCTTCTTGAACATCAGGAAGAAGCAGAACTAACCTGACTTCACTAAAAACTAAAACAACTTAACGTGGAGTCAAACCCGGAAAACAACATATGACAAATAGCTCTGGCGGAAACTATAAATGCTCTGAAACAATGGAAGAACAAGTGCAATGCCATAAGACTACCAATAGGAGATATGATACTCCAGATACTATAATATAGAGATGACCAAATTGTAGTTTTACAGAATAAGAAAGATTTTGAATATACGACAAGGAAACTAGAGAAATATAGAAAATGGGGTCTGGAGGTAAATACTAAAAGAACACAATATCTATGCGTAGGAAGAAAAGAAACGAAAAACCTGAACCTGTAACAGAAGAAAATTGTAAGCTACCATTAATATGTATATCTAGGAATAATAATAATGAGTACAGGACAAAACGAAGAAAATATTAAAAAGAAACAGTGACAGCTGATATAAGTTCTGAATTTGGTACTGTAGCAGAAAAAGATAACAACAGAAAATAAAAACGAATTCACAACACAATACTAAAACGCGTATTAACCTATGGAGCTTAAGCCTTGCAAAAAACCAAAAAGTATAACGCTAAATTACTAGCCACTGTGGCAAAATGGCGATGGCGATCTCGGTTTATAGTTTACAAAATGTGCAATTTACAAGAAGAAGAAGCATTGCAAAAATTTATTAAAAGGTATGCGTGGCCATTCTATTTTTTTTTATTTAAAATGCAGTAATTGATGCAGTTTATTTTGCAGAAAAAGAAGAGATGTCTGGGTACATGACATAAACCTGAGGCGCAAGCAACAAGAAGAATTTTATAAATTGTACCCAGAAATTTGCAGATATGAAAACCGTTTCTATACATATTTTAGAACGAATTTTGATAAATTTTATGAAATTTTGTTGTTTGGTAATTTTAACACACAAAAATTTACTAAACAACAAACAAATTTTGTGGAACAAGTTGGTGCTACAGAACGATTTTATATTTAATAGTACGTAATCTTGTAATCTGGGTGGGACAGGTCGAACAATATATCCTATTTTTTACAATTTCAATAAGTTTTTTTTGTATCCATTTTTATTTGCATCGACGCCAACAGCGATAGACGTAAACTGCTGCATTCTAAACACCCAACTAATTATATCGCCACTATTGCCGTTAGTAGAACGCTGTCCAAATTCATTTGATCGCCAGCAAGTCGCGACCAGAATATGCTGGCTCATTTATTCGTTTTAACCGAATTGAATCGTTCGTCATCGTGAACGCCATCGCGAAACAACTCTTTAAGACAACTTATGGGAATAAAAAGAAAATCGTCGAATTGAGGACAGAAAAATCTTCAAAAAAGTATTAGAATAGACCCTCCACAGAAAAACGAAAACGAGGAAGACTGTAACCACACGGATAAAGGGCATCTCCAAGGTGTTATTTAAAAGAAATTTAAGATATAAAAGTCATATACCGCTATAAAACCACTTTAATATAAACTGCGAGGCATAAGTGAGGGATATAGCTAAATCCTGCTATCCTGTTCGGGTCTATTTGACCTAAAAAATGTATTTCTTATTTTGCAAATTATTACGTGGCGTAACGTTTTGGTGTTTCATAACTTTATTACCTAATATAAGGTCTTTCAATTGTTTATGAGATAAAAAATCAACTTTTTGATATTTTTCATAGAAATTAAATTGTTACCCATAGTACATTCGGGTCAATATGACCCACGTATTTAAAACGTTAAAAATTATCTGTGTACGTATGTTTAGTTGGTAGTATTTTATATATTTTCGAAAAGTTTGTCAGTCAGGTACTTGTATAACTAGAAACAAGTTTCTGCAAGCTAGAACTTGTAAAAAATGTGTAGTGTAGCTGGACGATATCATTTAGAAGGGCATGTCACCTAGAAGGACGTGGGGGTGATAAAATGGTAGGCTGGTAGAACACTGATATCATATCAGTGATATGCCAAGCGCATTCATTTGCATTTCAAATTTCAGTCTATGTGTGCATCGAAGAAGGCTAACCGAAGATGAACTTCGCGAAGATGAGCTCGCGAACGTGTCAGAGTGCATATCAGAAATAAAAAACAATACAATTAGTAAGAATGAGAAAGAAAGTAGTGATGATTCTGCTGTTTCATTCTACGCACAACATCCTTTAAAACCACCTATAACATATCCTTCAAAAGACGGTAATATCCAATGGTCTCTCGATCCTCTTTATTAACGCGGTCGTTTTTCCACGGTCAATGTTATAAATATTGCTCCAAGAGTTACAAGATACGCATGTGCATGAATTTTTGATATGAAAAATTCGTTTGACGCACTCTTTTCTGATATAGTTGCAAACCAAATTTTAAACATGACCAACATGGAAAGACAGCGTGTTTTTAGAACCAGCTGGAAAGACTTGGATAAAATTGGTTTTCAAGTATACCTTCTTTTATTGTTAGCTGGAGTTTTTAAGTCCCATGGCGCATCAACTAAAAGTTTGTGGAATGAAGAAACGGGTCGTAGTGTATTTCTAGCAACAATGTTCCTGGAAGTATTTACAAAAATTTCGCAAGTAATACGTTTTGATAACAATACTACTATACACGATAGGAGACGTACTGATAAACTTACGTGAAATTTTTAAAAATTGGTAGATATTCTACCAAAATTGTTTAACCCTGATGAAAATATTACTCGACTAGCAACTAGTTGCCTTTAGAGGCCGTTGTACCTTCAAACAGTAAATTCCAAGCAAACCAGCGAAATATGGCATAAAACTTTGGGCTTTATGTGACAGTAAAAGTTCGTATACTCTAAAATTGCAGATCTATGCAGGAAAGGAAGCAGGTGCCGCACCGGAATGGAATCAAAGATTGCGTGTGGTGTGCAACTTGGGTAGTGATTTGAAAGACGACAATAGTACCCGAGATAACTTTTTTACATTCTACAGTTTAGGACAACTTCTTCTAAAAACAAAAAATATAATGCTGGGGACTATAAGAAAAAATAAGCCAAGGCTTCCAGCACAAATTGCGAATAAAGAAGTTCATAGTTCGTTTTTACTTTACGGAAGATACCATTGTTGTTAACTATATTCCTAAAAAGAATAAAAATGTTATTCTTATGAGTACTTTGCATCATGATAAGGCTATTAGTGACAGAAATGACAGAAAGTCCCAAATTATTTTAGATTACAATTCCAGTAAGGCAGCAGTGGATACTCTAGATCAGCTTGTTGGTATATATACATGTAAGAGGAAAAAAATCGCTGGCCAATGATTATTTTTTATAATATGCTGGACATTTCTGCCTACCACGTCTTCGTTTTATGGATATCAATAAATCCCCAAGGGAACAAAAATAAACTTACAAAACGGCGAATTTTTCTTGAGGAATTGGGAAAAATATTGGTGAAACCACTTATCCTTTCCAGGAAAAATTTACCAAGAACTAAAGACTCATAAGAATTGGTGAAAAGAACACGAACAGAAGCGAGTAGAGAAGATGGAAATTCTACTGAACCGTCTATGGACAATCCAACTCCACCTGTTAAACAAGCTCACTGTAAATTTTGCTCTAAAACCGATAACAAGACTAATATTTTATGTTTTATATGTCACAAACAAATTTGTAAAACCCATTCTTTTTATTATTGTCAGAGTTGTAAACTAAATTAAATTTTGTAGGTATTTGATCTTCTGGGAAAGAAAAAAATGCCTTTTATTTTTGTTTTTACATTAGCAACATAATTTTTGTGTAGTTAACTATAATTTTGTGTTAATAAAGTTTTGTTTAGCACCATTAGCTTAGTTTATTTCGATTAAGGACCGTAAACAATAGTTGGGTCACATTTTCATAGTTGACTCGAATGGTACAGCAGGGTTACGTTATATTCAATTAAGTCACTTATCTACATCAACAAATAATATAACTCAATAATTAAATTATTAAAATAAATTTATAAAAATCAAAAAAATACTGGGCGCTATTTTTTAAATGAAATATCTGGGGGAATTCAATAGAAAAGACGAATTATCTTGTGGATATAGAAACTTTTACTGCGTCATGACATTATTAAGCAAAGAAAGCGACTTTTTTCATTTATGTATTTTAATATTGTGAAAAAATTACGCAATTTAGATAACAACATTCAACAGACGACTTTCTTGAAAATACTTGCTCTTTAAATTAAGATTTTCTAAATAAAAAAATGTTTATAAAAAAAAATATTACGAATTGAAATTAAAAAAAAGCTTGTTTTTAATTATTTATAATTATTAAAATAAACAATGAAAATACTTTTAACGCATTTCATAATGCGAGTCTTTATGTTTTTACTACATTTGCGAAAGATGGTCACAATCGGTTTAGTAGTTTTGAAACAATTATAATTTTTATCCAATTTAAGAGAGCAAAGAAAATATTTTTTATGGTTGATGATAAAATTTTATATGCACCACGTTAATACAGAATTTATATCGACCTCGTCTGTTCGATATAAACGAACTCTACCACAAACGTTTGATCGCCCTGTACATTTCCACCTATTTCTTTAGGTGTCTTATTATTAATTTTCAATACAGTCTATATTACTTTGTACTTATATCATCTACTCTATTCTCTACTTTCTTTGCTTTAGGACCGTAAATATAGGATTTTGTATAAATACGGACCTGTACACTTTTTGGTTTAAAAATCGGCCAACGTCACTCTGTCAAAGAGTCGCCTGTAACACTGAGTAACAATTTTTATGAAGCCTACCAATTAAATAAAAACAATGAATTTTGTAACAAGCAACAGATAATATACTTACAATATCTTGCAATTCTTTGCTATTCGATGGATTGTTGCAACTCCGGGTTAAAAGCTTCACTGGTTCTTTCACATATATCGCCGTCGAACATAACCATAAACTAAACAGCACTTGATAAGCATTGTACACTATCATAACTAATTTTAAGTCGTAAGCTTTCCTCTTCTCCATCCACTGAGGTCCTATTTTGAGTACGAATATTAGGTAGGTTAGGAGAATTGCTACGACGGGTACTGGTGATTTCATAAACAGCCATGAGTCTACAGTGGGATCTGAAAAATAAAAGTCTGAATTAAATACACTGCTGGACAAAAATGGACTGTTGAAAATATGTATAAGAATATAACAAATAAGGCCAAGGTGGTAAAATCATCACTTTCATCACAGGCATCATGGCATGTTAATCGTCATATTGGGATTATATGGGGTTAAGCCAGTATTGACTGTAATAAACATTACATTTTATATTTGTATTACATTTTACATAATATCTTAATCAAGTTTAGATACCAAGGCGGTACATTTGCTGAAAAGAAAATATTGAGACGGGAAGGTATTGATACTGAGGATGCTTTTTTGCAGTGAGACACATACTTCATTATGTGACTTCATCATTAGTTATATATAAATAAAACACCATATAAGTTCTTTATGATTTTTTACCGCTAATATTATAAATTACATGGTTATCCAAACCAACATGTATACTGGGTAAGTTCTACTAAGATAATAAAATTAATGGTAAAACAAGAGAAGAGTTTGCATTGATAAAAACCTTGTATCTTTTCCAAGTCAAATAAAATTCAGTCAAAACATAAAAATAAGTGCTACAAATTGGGTATCCAATTTTATAATTTATGGACTACCAGTTGATATACTTACAACTTTAGGTTGTATAGTTTTCCAGATAATAACAATAGTAATAATAATTGTGACGTCATTAATAACCTCTATACTTGGCGATCTTTTCGTTGTATTTAACACTCAAATTATTGGTGTTAGGTATCGCCACATCAATAAGTGTCGTTTGCCTGGTAAGTTTAGTAACTAGTATGAGATCCGGTCTATTATGTGCCACTTGTTGATCTGTGAGCACAGTGCGGTCCCAGTATAGCTTGTAGTTGTCATGGATAATTGTGACGTCATCAATAATAATGACACCTGGCAGTAGGTATAAAATGCATAGCCATGAAAATAGAGTTAAATAGTTTGTACTTTGAAAATTAAGGCAAATATCGAGAACAAGTTTAATCAAATCTTGCCCAAGTACTTTCGCTTAATATAGCATCTTCAGGGGCATCTAAAATAAGCCAAAAAAAAAACGTTCAGATGCCCCTAAAGATGCTATATTAAGCGAAAGTACTTGGGTAAGATTTGACTAAACTTGTGCTCGATATTGTAGCGCAATCAGCTACAGACGGACAACAATAAGAACAACCATAAGCGAGCCAAACAATACAAAGAGCTTGACTCGCTGAAGTTGCTGCGCTGGAATATCACCCGGCACTCACCCAAGCAGGACCACCGAGGCAGCGCATGAAATGGACTGCGTCCATAAATGAAAATATTCTGTGCTTCTATTATCAGGCGACAAACCTCTGTCAAAAAACGATCGGGATCGACAAAATCTTTGGACCGAATTTTGCATGGAGTATCCAGAAATTCAAGTAACTGAACAAGGAGTTGCTGATCAATACCGGGTAAAATAAGAAACAATATTATCCCAGAGACTAAAAGCAATACCATCAGACGCGAAGTCGAATGGGAAATTAATCATTAAGAGATAAATGTGGATTAAGTCCCTAATGACATACAAGACCAGATTCCTGAGCTTGCGATACAAGAAATTCAACCTGATAATACACAACAGGACAACAACGAGTGGCGAGATACCCTAGTAAGCGAAATTACAAGTGCTGTACAAGAGTTTAAGGAAACAAGTCCACTTAGCAGACCACCAATATCAAAAATAAACTCTTCTAAAAAACTAGGTGCTCTGTTACAAATTATGAATAGTGAAGTCCTACCCTATTACGTCGTAGAAGCCCATACGCTGCAATATTTGCACATGTTTATTTACTGTGCAGCAACAGCAACAGCTAATGTAATGGGAATTAAGATCGGAATACGACGGGATACCAACGACGGAAAGACAGATACCAGTGTTGCACCCAGGGAAACACGGCTTCTAAAACGTAGAACGTAGAAACGTAAAAAGTAGAAAAGTCAGTAAAAGAGCTAATCAAATAATGCTAAGCACTGCAAGATACTCGTAATATGATCCAGAAAACAACACAGCCCAACATTGCCTGTATACATTAAAACAAAAACTCTCCGTTTATTCAGGACGACTAAGGAGGTACAAAGTTAGTAACAGCCAGAAATGTGACAATGCGCTTTTTGAGCATGCCAAAAAGGCGTTCTATCAAAAACTTAATTCCATTGTCGAAAGTGCCAATAAATCCAAACCAAAAAGAAATTCAGGAGTTTTGGGGTAATCAACTTTCCACACCAGCTGCTCTTAACACCAATGCTGAATGGATAGAAGATACGACGCACAGCTGTGAAAACTACCGTACAACTGTCTATAAACCCTTCACCATAGAAGAAGTCTCTAATATCATCAAAGACCTTCATAACTGGAAATCTCCTCTACCAGACGGAGTTAAACTGTTAAAATCAATCTGGTACTAACAGAGTTAAGTAGGGCTATGCTGATCTATAAAGAGATGGTGTTTCTATATTACCTATCATTTTGTACAGACAAAAACTTTTGTATACTTTTTTTTGTACTTGTAAGTTTTTTTTGCTTGAAACATGAAGACAAGGCAGATTACACCATTGTGGTGTAAAAAGTTATAAAATTTATGATTTATGGAATGCATGCTCGCGAGTCGGAAGGTCATGAAGTAATATATATAGCAAAACTGCTAAAACATATGAAAATAGTGCTTCTGTTGAAGTTAATGGAAGATCTGCTTGATAGTGGGCGTAATTTGTATACGGATTTGTATACGGCTCCTATAACAAATTGCTATAACGACGACTTCTTTGGTTATTTATGAATTAATTGTAAGTCGAACTTAAAAAAGTTATGACACAGATACTTAAGAAATGTGAAATTAGCTCCTTAAGAGAGTCAGTTCGGAATATAGCAAAAATAGATTTAAGCATGTGGTATCATTTAAATTATTGAGTACAGTAAACAATGTGCTACTCGGTTTCTTTTCTTACAAATAAAGAAGTAAAATCACGTAAATTGGCATTATTGTCATTCACGTAATAATTACAGTACACTGGATGTAACAAAAACTATTGTATATAGTATTTCAAAGATTATTTTGCGACCAAGTGGAATGAGCATTAATTTTGGTATTTTTTTGTTGTTAAAAACTGACTCAGTTATATTTGTTTATTAGTAAACCTGGTTTATGAGAAAATAATGTTTTGTTCACATATTATGTTTTTTATAATCTATAGTATAATAAAAACTTATTTAATCGTTCTATTAAATCCTTCCGATTTAAACATCGTCTTAATAAAAATAATATGTCGTGTGGCTTTGATGCGGTGTTGCCCCAGTTCCAGTATTAAACGAGTTTGATTTCTATGAGGGGACAGACCATTCATAATTTTGTCTTGAAAGTATTAATATGGTTTTCTAATACATTCCATCCAAAAAATGAAGTTTGCACAATTTGGAAAAGTACTAAACCTTTATGAGAGATATAGCAGTGGGCGGTATATGGGTAAATACTTAGTAAAACGTATTTCACAATATGCTATATGTCAGTAAGAGGTTCTTATAACAATATGTAGAAAAGGTTGTAGCCAAAAGATGCACGACAAAAAAGTAAGATTTATATTTATTTTAATTTAAAGATTATCAAATATTGTGACAAAATTTGTATTTGTAATAAACGATTACGCTAAAACGCACAGCATCCAAAGAAGAAGAAAAATAATATAATCCGATTTTTTCCAATATATTCTCAACAATTTAATTACACCTGTCATATTTACTGTCTCTTTTCGACGTTAAATCTAACAATAAAAGTCAATTAACAGTGAAAATATGATGTTTTATTTACATTGCAAAGGAGCAGTCGTATCATAAAGATAGTATTGCTGTGGTGAAAGTTACACGAGATTGTACATATGCATCAATGCAAATACTTAAGAATAGTAAAAAATTTACAATTGAAGTAAACGCATTTTCTGAAATAAATAGAAAATTTCTTCAGCAAACATTGTTCAGAAATTAACTTTTAAATGTATCTGAAGGAGTAGAAAATTTCTTCATACATAGCTGTAAAATTGAGTTAATAAAAGATACTCAATTTCTTTTTTTTTTACTGAATTAGCTTGTTGTTTAAGCTTTTTACTCTTTTGATTTATACCATGAACCTCGAGTAGAATATTTATTATAAATTACACAGGCCAACAAGGCTGACACTCAAACATAGTGCCTATACTTTTCCGAAGGTTTTTGGTGCACTGAATACGAATTTGAGCTCCAAATTGCTGAATTGGCCCTGATTTCTCAGATATCATAACCTAAAAGGCAAAATATCGGTTTTTGCCTATTTTTGAGGTTACGTAGGCCCGTTATTTTTTTCTATCCTATTGCCCTTAAAGTACATCTTTTTCTTTTAAATAGGATTTAGGTTTACTTTGTGTGAAAAGGTGTGAAAATAAAATTAGTTATATAAAAATAAAATAAAATAAAAAATAATTCCAAACAATTAAAAATTCTAAACCAAATAAAATTCTTACTGAATTAAATGTTTTAAACAAGCCATTACCTTGTGACAAAATCCAAAGTTGTTGGAAAAACAACTAAACCAAATCTAAAGATTTGTCTTTAGATTTGGAACCAAATCTATTATACAACGCCTTTCTCGTGGCGTTAAGTGCATTTTCTGAGATGTTTTGGCTAAGCTCAATTATTATCTTTTTTCGGTTGCTCTAAGTGGGTGGCTCGCTCATATTCATGTCTGTATAGATTGGTCTTTAGGATCCCCAAAAATAAAAATCTAGGTGAGCTAAGTCGGGTTACTAAGGGGGTTTATTGTACCTAGTTTAGTAAGGTTTAGTATTGTAATTACACGTTTGGAAAAATAAACGCTAAATAGTCCCTAGCGGTCTGTGTATTATGCGAAGAAGAGCCGCCTTTTTGAAACCAAATTTCTCTTAACTCTATTTGAAGATGTTGAAGTGCAGGAATAATTTGATTTCTAAATATTTGAAGATATTTTACTTCGTTAAGATTTTCTTCAATGAAAAAAGGACCAACAATCTAATCTTCTAACGTTTTAATCCAAACATTCAACTTTTGTGGGTACTGCATACGCACAGCAACAGCCAAATGCTTATTTTCCTGAGACCAACAAAGTACAACCGATGAGTTATGTTTCCTGTGAATTGAGAAAGGACTCGTCTGTAAACAACATATTCTTCAAAAAATTATTTCCATTAAAGTTCTCCATCATAATTTCACAGAATTTTATCCGTTTAAAATGATCATCAGAAATTATTCCTTGAGTAGTCTGCACTTTATAACATTGGTAGTTGTTGCTTTTCAAAATATTCCTTTAAGTAAATTTCGGTAATCAGCAATTTATTTACTCAAACGCGTCGTCGCTACTACCAATGCACAGAACTGTGTTTCTGTAATTTCCCATTGTTTAAGCTGCAGACTTTTCAGCGACCATCAAGTAGTATTTGTTCTAGTCATTCCAAAAATGTACTCAGAAGGCAGGAAAAATACCAGTAGACTGGCTTAAGTCGGAGTTTGTACCATTGCCCCGAAAAACCAAGAGCAAAAGTTAGTGGAGACTATAGTACCATAAGCCTAATGAGCCATCTGTTAAAGCTGTTCTTAAAAGTCATCCACAACAGAATTTACCGAAAATGCGAGGAACATATTGAGCCCAATTATTTTGGATTTGTGAGCGCCGTTGGTACGAAAAAAGCTTCATTTGGCTTACAGATATTGTTTCAGAAATGTAGAGATGTTAGCTATGATGTTTTTGTATGCCTGATTGACTACAAGAAGGCTTTCGATAGAGTCAGGCATGAACAAAGGATGGAAGTACTGAAGAGGACAGGGATTGATGGAAGAGACTTAAAAATAAAAGCTAACCTGTATTGAAATCAATCAGCAGTGCTCTAGTGGTACATAATTTCACTACTGATATTTAATCTGTACTCGGAGCATATTTTTGAAGAGGCTCCAAAAGATATTGATGAAGGCATCTCAATAAATGAAGTAAACTCAATAACCTGCGGTATGCATATAATACAATAGTGTTTTCCAGTACCATAGAAGATCTGCAAAAGTTAATGAAAAAAATAACGGAAACAAGTAGAACATATAGGCTGAATATAAATAACAGCAAAACCAAGCTAATGATCATCAGCAAGAAAAACATAACTGGAGCAAATCTGTATGTGAACCAAATGAGAACTGAACGTGTCTCACAGTACAAGTACTTGGGAACTAATCAATGAGTCGTGGGACCATACCCAAGAGATTAAATTTCGCATCGAAAAGACAAACAGTGAATTCCTGACTATAAGGTTTTTATAAGCTCTGTGTTCAAGATTTCACCCATGATTTCACCCTAGAAACAAAAATAAGGCTCCTTAAATGTTACGTATACTCAGTGCTTCTGTACGGAGTAGAAACGTGGACATTGAAGACGGAAACTCTATCAAAACTTCAGGCTTTTGAGCTATGGTTAAACAGAAGGATTCTGAAGATACCATGGACTGACCAAGTCACCACTGAAAAAGTACTGCGGAGGATGAACACAACCGCATATTTGGTCAACATCGTGAAGGTCCGTAAGCTACAGTACTTGCCACATATAATGAGAAATCAAGGCAGATATAAGATACTCCAATGCATTGTGCAAGGTAAAATTAAAGGAAAAGTGACCCCAGGACAAAGAATAATATCTTGGTTTGTTAACCTGAGAGCATGATATAGAAAGACCTCATCACAGCTATTCCGTAGAGCAACCAACAAAGTCATGACGACCAATTGACAACAAGCGGCTTCCATAGAAAAAAAGACCCTATATAAATTAACTATACATATCTCAACTTACCTCTGGATTGGGCAAATTCACTATAATTTTCGACAACTAGGTGCATTATAGAAGTCATTTTTAACCTGGAACAAAAATATAGAGTAAATATAGTTTAATATCTATTCGTTTTATAATTAATATATTTGTTATATAAACCAATGCACATATAAACAAAAATTTACGTTTGTATTAACTATAAGAATGACAGTCTAACAATTAAGTAAATGCTGACTAGCAAGAATGTGTATTATCCATAAAAAACAGTTAGGGATCACATTTACCCTATTTTGCTATGGCATTTGAAGAACTAAAGAAATATTATTCTTCTTCTTATTGCGCCGTATCTTTTCAAAGGTTTGCGATCCAAATGGCAATTGTAGCTTTCAAAACTGCTGAACGAAAGGTTTCTGTGGATAAGCTGTCAAACTATCTCCCCAGGTCTTTCATTCACGAGTTCTGGCGTCTTCCAACTGATCTTTTGCCCTGCACTTTTTCACTTCATTTGCACTTTAACCGGAGTACTTCATAACTTTCACCTCTCAACACATGACCCAAGTATTGTATTTTTCAAGCAATATACATGCAGAAAATTAATTCAAATCAAAGGCACAACCAATATGTGATGATATTCATAGTTCAGGATTCGATCAAATTTGTATTGTGTATGTATGTGTATGTATGTATGCATGTGTGAGTTATAATTTTTTTGTTTATCATTAGATTTTCGCTGAAGCCTAGGTGAATTACTTATACTATTAAATAGTTTAGATTACTAGATGTTTTCAAGAAAATATTGTGTAGAATAAAATATACGTAATTAATGAATGTCTAGACAAACACATTTGTCAAATTCATAGTTGAAACTATTTTGTAAGTCAAATTAATTTGCAATAAACAGTGACTAACATTTTGTGGTTTAGTAAAAACACTTTAATATCTATTAACTGATGTAAATAGCACTTTCTAATATAATCTAATAAGTGAAGTTACGCATAATTATAATACTTAGTGAATTATAAGTAAAATTGACATGCAATTTTGTAATAAGCCATATACAGTAAGAGAATAAAATATTACTCATGTAAAATAAAAATTTATAATTTTTTTTGTTGCCATATAGAATTGTCATCTAGAACCCATACAGAGGCATCGGCTCAGGGTCAGCAACCTCCAAATTGGGGGTCTTACGTTGTCATGCAGGGTATTTGTTAAAAAGTTATAACATCACATCAACTTATTAACAAAAATGTAATAAATAACAAACTTTTGTACCATCTTTAGAGTTTTTACCCACCTATTTAGTGGCTTGACTCATATACACTCGGTAAATGCACTGATGATGGATCTGTTAGTCGGAAAACGTTCTGTGATGTAGCCCGAAAGGGTCTTTATAATTATATACTTTTTATAAAGAATTTTTAAATAAAACTTTTGTGATTTGTTATATACAGCCAACTACAGGAAGTTAATTTTCTTTGTGATTTGTTTATTTTAAATATCTTGACCAAAAATTAATTTTTTTTACATCCTTTATTTATTATAATCTGTTTCTACAAATAAAAATAACATAATCAATAGGTTTATCATGTAATTGAGGAGATCTGTCCAATGACAAAAATCAAGTTTTGGATTTTTACCCAGTAGCATGTCATTGTTTAATAATCCTTTCATAATTATCGATATTGATATTTATAAGTATTTTTTTTATTTATTATTTCACTCTGTATAGGATTTATAAAGCAATTCGTCTAGCAACCTCTGAAATAAAAGACACTAACTCATGCACGAAGAAAGTGAAAAGATATTTATGTGAAAGTATTCGTCTATTCTGTTGAATTATTTCAAAAGTAATGGCACTATGATTATCTTTAGTCAGTTGTACAAGAATACTTTGCTTTTAGTTTAATTAACTATGTAAGAGGACATTAGCTTGATGCTGAGGTACTTAGACCAAAGAATATGATGTATATGTATGGTATACGATTTATAATGATCTGTAGTTATTATACAGTGTGTAAAAGCCAAATGGAATAAATTCATTATTTAGATTACTCTACATATTTATAAAAAATCCCGAAACACGTCAAATTTAAATTATAACTTGACATTCTTTAACGTGAAAATGTAACTTCTACCTTCAACCCCCTTAGAATGACAGATACAACCCCCAATTTTAAAATAGGAAGTATAGGCTTATGATATATCGTTTGAAAGGTCTTTTCATTCTCCATTCAGTTGTCGCTTTCAAGTTTATTAAGATTAATTAAGATAAAATAAATTAAAATCATGTGGTTACCGAAATTCCCTACAATACAATCAAAAACTAAAATGTAATGCAAAACGTAATAAAATATAGAACACGAAAAAGAACTATGAATGTTAATGAAGTAGCTGTTTAAAATGTTCACCGCGAACGTCTTGGAAACATCCTAATCTCTAATCAAACTGTCTTCTAACATTATTTCACATAATAGGCATGATCGACCTAATCGCAAGCGTTATTCATTCTTTTAAGTCATTTTAATCAGAAGGTTTAATTTTGTACACATGGCTCTTCACATATCCCCAGAAAAAGTAATCTAATAATGTAAGATCAGGTGATCGCGCTGGCCATTCAATCGATCCTCGCCTCCCTATCAACCGATTGGGAAATATTGTATCGAGGTACTTCTGGACATTAAGTTGGTAATGTGGTGGTGCTCCATCCTGCTGAAACCATATCGTATTCGCTGGAACTTGAGGGTTTCCTGGATCAAGATATAAATTTGCCAATGTTGGAATGACATCATTTTAAAGTACTGCCAAATAATTGTTGCCATTCAAGTTGCCCTCCATGAAAAAGGGACCAATGATATTGTTTCCTACATTGACTGACCAAACATTAACCTTTTGAGGGTATTGAGTGTGTTCTTCTCTCATCCAGTGAGGATTTTCCGTGGCCCAGTAGCGGCAATTTTGCCGATTAGCATGACCGTTAAGTCAAAAAGTACACTCATCAGAAAACATATCAAAATCGTCTTCCATAAGCTCCTGAGTAGGTATCATCTTATATGATGCAATTTATTTTCTTTCAATATGTTTACTATCGATGTATGGCTAGCATTGAATGTATGTGGAATGTATGCCTGTCTACTCGATGTATGTGGATTTTCCTGAAACTCAAGCAACACATCTAATTTGAGTTCATCACTCAACACGCTTTTTTTATTTGTATAACCCGACAAGCGAGAGCTGGCGGGTTGCGAGTAGAACAAATTGAAAAGTGGAAGGAATAGCTCATTTCTATTGCAGTCGGCTAGGAGTTCACATCGTGTATAACCGTTTAAGTACCTATACTATATACTTATAATCGCGATTAAGTACCTCTCCTATATCTCTTAGAATAATTCCTTTTCTATTTTCGCTCAGCTCACCCGCCAGCTCTCGCTTGTCGGATTATAAATCATTTGTAAAACTGTTATTTGATGCATTTCCGTTAATCTAACCATTTTTCGGAATTGAATTGAAATTAAAATTAAAATACTGACAGCTTAAATAAAACAATTTACTAATGCATGTTAAAATAACGTTGCCACGGAAATTCTTTAAAGTTTTTTAATGGTTACCATCTAAAAAATACATTGCTATGGTTTTCGTCCACTTTCTCATTATCAAGACCTAAACGGGAAATAAGTTTTGAGTATATTTTAGCGAATTTTGGTAACCACATGATTCTAATTTATTTTATCTTAATTAATCTTAATAAACTTAAAAGCGACAACATTTTTGAATGGATAATGAAAAGACCTTTCAAACGGTATATCACAAGCCTATACTTCCTATTTTAAAAATTGGGGGTTGTACCTGTCATTCTAAGGGGGTTGAAGGTAGGGGTTGCATTTTCGCGGTAAAGACTGTCAAGTTATAATTTAAATTTGACGTGTTTCGGGATTTTTTATAAATAGTTAGGTAACCTTAATAAGGTTTAGGTAACCTAAATAATGAATTTATTCCATTTGGCTTTTACACACTGTATAGGGCGGTTAAAAGTGTATTAATTTATTAGTATGAAGTCTACTAAACGTTTGTTTATTTGTCTATTTAATTTTATTATGAGTAAAAGTAATGGTGGAATATGTAATTAGGAAAAAGCCAGAAACTGGCTGGTAATAATGTTCTAATATTTTAAATAAGTAAGTGCTTTGCGCTTACACTACTAAAAGATGACAAGCTAATAGAGATATTAAAAAATATTGGAATAACCATCTGTAATCTAAGAATTATTAGCAGTTTTTACTAAAATCAAACATCGTCTATCCGTACAAAGGCAGGAGAATCCAAAGATACAAAAATTAAATGTAAGTCCGACAGGGATGAATACTATCAACCCTGCTGTTTAACATATTCTATGAGGAAATCTTTCAAAAGGCAACAGACGATGTTTAAATTGGAATTTGAATTAAAACGGAGAATATAATAATAACATCGACACTCGGTGATATTCGCTGAAAGTTTTCCAGGGATTCATAACATTTAATGAATAGAATCACGTCAACTTAAATTGGGATTATTCTCTAGAAATCAAATGTAAGATAGAGAAAACAAGATCTTCATTTAAAAAAGTGCCCAATACGCAGAAAAATCAGGTTACTACGATGTTATTTCTTTTCTATACTGTTGTCGTGGAATCTCAACAGATTTGAGATTCTCAACCTGCAAGAGAATTGAGGCTTTCGAAATCTGGCTTTATCGTTAAATCCTAAAGATATCTTATAATGTTTACGTTACCAATCAGGACGTTTTATTAAGAATGCAACACGAAAAAATCTGTTAATCGTACCTAATAAAAACAGCAAAAATCGAATGCCTCGGTCACGTCATCAGAAACACATACATGTATTGCAGCAAATAATTTTAGAGGGAAGGGGGAGAGGAAAACTACGAGCAGGAAGGTAAGGAATTTCCTGGCTTAGGTCTTTTAACACTACAACCACAAATATTTTTACATCAGCAGTGTGCTTAATACAGATTGCGATGATAGTTACCAACATTCGAAACGGATAGACAAGAAGTCATATCAAGAAGATACGATACAGTTAATGGG